GCCTCGCGGTCGACATCCTCCACGTCGTCGTTGAACATGTCAAACCCGCCGCCGCCGCCGTCGGGGTCGTCCGCCTCCGCCTGATCCGCCTTCTTCGGCGGCGGCTCCCGCGGCTTCGACCCCTTCTCCGTCGACTTCAGGCGGGCAAGCATGAAAGCCTTGAGCTCCGACTCGCGCGCGCGCGCCTCATCGCTCACAGCGGCGCCCGGCACGGACCCCTGCGGCTTGGCCGTCGGCTCGTCTGACTCCGAGTCGCTGCCAGCCGCCTTGTCCGACGCGGCGCTCCTCGGCGGCTCCTCACCTGCAGGCGGAGCGGCAGCAGGCCCGCTCGGCGCACTGGTGGGCCCTGCGGCTGCCGCCCCCTTGGCAGCCGCAAGGCCGTTCTCAGCAGTGGGCGCAGCCTCCACCTTTGCTGTGGCCTTCTCCTCGGCCGGGGGCTGTCCCGCAGCCGGCGCTCCTATCGCAGGCTCTGCCGCCGACGACGGCCCCGCCGCTGCCGCCGCCGCCTTGTGCTTCTCGAGCAACGCTGCACGCCGCGCGCGCCTCTCCTCTATCAGCCGATTCTCCCGCGCCTCGTCGTCCTCCTCCATCATCTCGGCCTGCCTCTCCACGCGCTGGCGGTACTCCTCCTCCTCGCGGCGCTTCTTCGCCTCGAGGAGCTCCGCTTCCGCCGCCCCGCTTCCGCCGGGCGCGCCGCCTTGCGCAGAGGACGCGCCCTGCGCTTGAAGCGCCCGGGCGTTGGCGCCGCCGTCGGAGGCCTCGCGCGGCCGCTCGCGCGGCCGGTCTCCGCGCTCGCGGTGGCGCTCGCCGTCCCGCCGGTCGTAGTCGCGCCCCCCCCGTTCCCTGTCGCGCTCCCTGTCGCGGTCGCGCTCGCGGTCGCGCTCGCGGTCGCCCCCGCGCCGCTCCTCGTCGCGGTAATAGTCGCGGCGGTCGCGCGGCGCGCCGTCGCGTCGGTCGTCGTAGCGCGGCCGCTTGTAATCCCTGTCCATCGGCGGGCCTTCCCCGGGGGGCCCCCTTAGTACAAGGCGCAAGCAGGCAGCAAGCTGAGACGGCGCAAGAAAAACACGCGGGACAAGCTGAAGGAAAGGCCGCTAGACTGAGATGAGACCGCCAGTGGAGTTGGGATTCCACCGTGCATCGCGCTGCGAGCCTGTCGTGTCCCTTGTCAGGAGCAGGAGAGCCCCACCTGTCCCCCTGATCGTCCTTCCAAAATCCTGCTCGTGCAGGTGTGGGCCCTGTCCTCCTCCCCTATCCCTCGTTTGGGTTGTCTGTTTTCTTTCTTTCTTTCTGCCACCCGCACCGAAGATGAATCCCGGCCGACACGCGCCACACCACCCCGGTCCAAGATGCACACACACATGCATGGCTCGAATTCGAGCGGAATGCCGGCAGCCTGCTCCCCGCTCCCGTATCCCTGATCGGCTAGCACCAAGATGCAAGAAGGCTCCTTATCAGCTGGTCGGCCGCCATGTGGGCCTCCGGGCCTGCTGCGGCGGCGCGGCCGGTTGAGGCCGGGCTCGGCCCGGCCCGCGACGGCTGGCCGCCGACGAGCGCGCTCGCGCTGCTCGTCAAAATGGCGGCGGTGGCGATTGCGGCGACGGTCGTCCAGTCGTACTCTCGTACAGCGCTCAGGCAGGCATCTGTCGACTGTCGACTGTTGTGATGTCGCATTTCGCACACGCGCGCGCCGCGCGACCCGCGTCGCTCCGCGAGGGCATGAGCCTTCCGCGATTCGATCCCGCAGCCAAAAGCTGCTCGCTCGAACCGCGGCCGACTCCGCCATCGCGGCCGCAGCTGTTGGGCTCTCCAGAAGACTGGTGCCTGATATGCTGCCTCCCTGCGGACGCTGCCGGCGAGCCTAGGCGATCCGCTGTACTACAAGGAAGTGCTGACTCGATCCTACCCCAAAAACTTCTACCCCCACGACTCGGAACACGAATGTGACAGGACCATCGGGTCCTTCAGCCACCAAAGCGAGATCACCCGAGAGCAGCTGAGTCTGCCTCTGGCCTCGCCTCCCTCTCCTTCAGGCATTCGTGGCATCCTATGGGTCGTCCAGAGTATCGACCTCTGGCTTGTCAGCCGGTGGCACTTGATGACACCATGAAGCGGTACAGCGATCGCCACCTCGCTGGCCTCTCCGCAAGGCCCCCCGACGACCGCGTCGAACTCATCGGCGCGGGCTCTCTCGGCTACGGGACCGGCCCCAGCTTCGGCTGAGGGCTAACAAGGCCGACGTTTTTTGATCTCTGGGTCAGTGGGGGGCCGAGCCACCTCGGGGTGGCGGGCGGGCGGGCGTTTTGAAAAACAGAAAGCAGAAAACAGAGGGGGGCCAGGGCCCCCACTACGATTAGACACAAGCACCTGGCTCCTGGGACAAAGCGAGCAGCAGCAGCAAGCAGTTCAGCGGAGAAGGGGGGGGGGGAGGAGCCGAGGGGGTGACGTCCCGACACGGCAGGTTGGAGCTGACCCAGGGAGAGAGAGAGAACAGCGATGGCAGCCCCCAATGACTGTAGACAGAAATGACGAGCCGACAGCGATGCAGCGGCAGCGAAAGCGGCGAGGAGGGCCCGCTGCAGAGCTCCGCTGGGCGGCAGCAGAGACATCGGCGGACGGGGGAGCACGCGGGACACGTCGGCATAGGAGCCAGGGGTGTGTGGGCTGGGCCTGCATCATGAATGGGCCTGATAGCGACGGCGGCGACGTAGGCGAGACGGCGGCGAGGGTGGCGACGGCCACGATGAAGCTGGCTTGACGAAATGGATGACGCCATCGCGCAACAATAGACATCCCCTCGATGTCGTCGTCCTTGCCGGAAGGGGCAGCGCACGCGCCTCTGAAGATCGAGGCGCGTGGCTCAAAGCCGGCGCTGCGCGGGTTCGTGCCCATCCGACTATTGTCTACTTTTCCATTTTTTTGGATGCCGTGGTCGTGGGGGTCACTCACGACCCGCCGCACGAAGTAGGCGGCGCGCAGCGCCGCTCTCGCAGGCTGTTTTTGTCGGTTCTACATTTTGTTTTTGTTTTCAGTCTAGGGGGCCCGACCCCCTCAGAGGCGGCGGGCGGGCGCCCACTGACCCAGAGATCAAAAACGCTCGGCCCTGCGTCTCGCGAGCGGGGGGCAGCGGTGACACAAAAAGCTCTAAAAAATGTAGGATCCACACGGACGCACCCCTCCCCCCCCTGCGGGGTCAATACGTCAGCAGGACCGGACCCAATGCTAAAGCGATATCCCCAGCGCGACGCCGACGCGCGGCGGTCTACTTCCCCTGCGCGGCTGCGCGGCGACAGACACCACGGTGGTGCATGCAACATGCGTGCGAGAGCCGCCTCTGACCGCGAACGATAGGTCGGCGGGTCTCCGCCCTGCCAGCAG